CTACAAACAATGTCTGCTTTTAAAAGAAGACGTAGACAAATTCCCGTGCTAGGGCCTACACCAGAAAATCAGCTTCCATATCCCTGAAAATGACCCATGTTTGCTCCGTGCACATAAGAGACCATGTAACTTTGGTTTGTTTTCAAAAGACTTTTACCTTAGTTCAAAAAAAGAAAAAAGAAAAAGCTTGGCTGTGGATACCGTAAGCCATCAGTCATTACCGTCCAGACGTAATGAGGACACAGAAGGCTCGGTTGTCATTCTTGCTGGTGTCTAGCAGTCTGTGCTCCCCAGACCACGGCTCTGCCCCAACCCCCCCCCCCCCCCCCATTCTGAGATCTCTGAGAACTGGGAGCGTACCTGCACCCTGACCACCCACACAGCTGCAAGGAGCCTCGCACACAGGGAGAACTTCATGTTTCCATTCCTGCACATCTCCTCTCTGGGTGAGAGCTTGCTCTAACACTTGTCTTGGGGGACTTTCCTGTTACAGCCCTCGAATTCCCGGCCTGCACATGGCTCTGCCGACTTGGACCCATTTAAATTTCGCTGGTTGATCCCCATATCCGCACTTCAAGTCAGACTGGGGAATACAGCAGGTAATTGTTTCATGTGGTATGAGACTAGGAAAAAGTTTTTTATTTTTATTTTTTTTTAAGATTTTATTTGTTTGTCAGAGCACAAGCAGGGGGAGTGGCAGGCAGAGGGAAAGCAGAGGGAGAAGTGGGCTCCCCTCCCAGCAAGGAGCCTGATTCGGGGCTCAATCCCAGGACCCTGAGATCGTGACCTGAGCTGAAGGCGGCACACACTTGACTGACTGAGCCACCCAGGCGTCCCCAGGAAAAAAAGCATTTTAACGGGGCTTATTTGCATTGGGGAATGAAAAACTAGGAAAGAACCTTCAGAATAATTTCTGAGTTTTATTTTATAGGCAAAGAAAGTAAGGACAGGAGAGGCTGTTTTGATTTTTTTTTTTTTTTTACAGACTTTTAGAGAAAGTAAATGCCAAATTTGCCTTTTCTTCGCCAGATACCTCTCGTTTCCTTATTTTCACTCTCAATGGTTTTCAACATTTTTCCTGCCTAAAATCCTTGATACCCTAAAATTTGTTAAAGGACCACAAACTTAAAAAAAAAACTTTTCCACCTTGGAAAATGTTCGAGGTCCTTCTAGAATTACCATGTTCTGGTGACAGTGCCTCCGACGACAGAAAGGACCAGTAGTCTAGGGCATGCAGTGATGCTCTGGATCCCTGTTTTGTTTGAGGTGCTTACACTTCCTAAAACGGGACTGACTTTGGGCTGGTCTGTTTACCTCAAGTACCTGAGCACATCCTACCGTTCCTTCCAAAGAATACAATGAATGGAATGGGGTTGACAAACAGGATCCATTTAACCTCCTTCCCCAAGAGATGTGATCCAGCGCTAGGGAGAAAGCACACTGGGATGGATGGAAAACTACCAGGAAATGTAAAAAGTAACTAAAAAGTATTTGACTTTTGATAACGATTTGTGAAAGTCATACATAGAATGAGGCACAGAAGAAAATGATGAGACTCAGGACAGGAAATATTTGACGTGAGTTTCAAACTTCACATTTTTGGCAAAGTCGTAGACCCTTGTTTCCTTTTACACAGGGACAGAAAATAATTCCGTATGGGAACTGATCCATACGAAGTCAGAACTAGAAGGACGGCCAGAAACCATCTTCCAACTGTGCTGCAGGTATTACTGATTTCCAAAAATTAAAGCCAATGGGAAAAAGACAGAATTGTGCTCTCTTAAAAATGGGAGTTTATTTTTAGTGCTCTCCTGAATTTTGATGACTTCAGGATCACACCCAGCCTCCCCCAAATGGCAACTGTGTCTGTAGTAGAATACATTGATTAAATATGTATCCAAATCTTAGTGCTCAAAGGCCTTCAAAAAATGATCACCTCTCCTTCTGTGAGGAGACCAAGGTACACAGAAGCTGGGTGACTCGTGGTCAGTGTGTCCTGAGAGCAGTAATAGGACACTTAAGGACCAGGGGATGTGGACACAAAGCACGAGGACACGCCACATGACTGTTTTCTCTTCTCCCCTCACCAGTGACAGTGAGAGCAAAACCAACATCGTCAAGGTGATTCGATCTATTCTGAGGGAAAACTTCAGGCGTCACATCAAGTGTGAATTACCCCTGGAGAAGACCTGTAAGGATCGCCTGGTACCCCTTAAGAACCGAGTTCCTGTTTCAGCCAAGTTAGGTGAGAACTTTGCTGGCCTTGTGTTTATTTAGGAAAACACAAGCTTCTCTGTAAGTATATGTTTTTGTAATACAGCAGTGAGTCACCACTTTGTAAAGTACCAGGGGGAGCCCTGTAAGCTCTGAACCAGACACCCGAGCACACGGAGTGGTGTGTGAAGGTGGTGGCAATTTTATTTCCTTTTAAGAAACTTAAGGGGCGCCTGGGTGGCTCAGTTGGGTAAGTGTCTGTCTTCAGCTCAGGTCATGATCCTGGGGTCCTGGGACTGAGCCCCGCGTTGGGCTCCCTGCTCTACGGGGACTCTGCTTCTCCCTTGCCCTCAGCCGCTCTCCCTACTTGTGCTCTCTCCCTCTCTCAAATAAATAAAATCTTAAAAAAAAAAAGAAAGAAAGAAACTTAAAATGCCTCTTGCTCCCAAACCTTGTATAAACTATAACCACCCCCAATCCCAAGTCCTCATTTTACCACCAGCTGACATAGTCTCTTTACTACCTTATCTCTTTCTTCCATCGAGATGTGCAGGAGTCACATAGTCTCTTAGCTTAGCTTGGCTCACTGCAGTACTCCCAGTGCTCCGAACAGCTCAGGCATCTAAAAAGTCAGTACTTGAATTAAGATCAAGAAACCTTATGTTCATTTTTACCCAGTCAATTAAGTCAGGAAGGAAACACTCCAGATCATGCTTTTCTTAAACTTTCTGCCTGTTTCAGTTAAAATTTTAAATTTTCTGCTTTTTAAAATTTCAGTTTAAACCTTCTCTCTGTATTAACTGTTTTGTTAATGTCTTTGATCTTGTTTCTTTTCTTTATTGGTCACAGTGTGACCTCCTCTTCAAATTCACTGTATATTTTCTACTTTTTTCTCTATTGCCAAAATAAGCTGTAGCCATCAAAACTATGCTCTTACTGTCTACGGAAACATCACAGCTGAGAGCTCCCCTTTTCCCTTCAACCCAAGAGAAAAGAATTACACACAAATGATTAAATTATTCCTATTAAATCTATGAAAGTTGGCTAGAAATTCCAGCAGAGACCGTTCTCATGAGTGATGAAGGGCATTTTTCTACTTCTAATGGAGCAGCAAGGGAAATAAGGTGAGAAGGCAGGCGTAGAAATATGGTATAATCTTGGCTGTCCAGTTTCAAAGTACTTTAGTGAAAGAAAGGGACCTAGATTTTATTAGTAGCTAACTTTTTCATTTATCCATTGGCAAAATAAGAATCCTAGCCTTCGTAATAGTTTATAGCTTGTTGTTCTATCTAAACAATCGAGCTCTGGTAATAGGTCATCTAGAAATGCCCAATCCTCCGACATAAAATTTCAAATAAATGTAAGTAAAAAATTTCCACATTTGGCAGTATCTGCACGTTTTGGGTGTATGTGTGTTTTTTTTTCTTTTTCTTTTTCTTTTTTTTTTTTTTTTTTGCCCAAGCCCCAGGATAGTTGGTAACAGAAGTGAGATGATGTTAAGTCATTAAGATGTTACATCTTATAACGTACATTGCAAAAATTACGCATTGTGGAGTCTTTTTCTTGATCACGAGGGGAAATGCACTTTTCTCACCACAGCTTCCTCCAGGTCCTTGAAAGTCCTCAAGAATTCCTCCAGCAGTGAGTGGCCCGGCGAGTCCGGCGAGGCCAGCAAGGGCAGCTCCCTGGACTCGGACGAGTGCAGCCTGAGCAGTAGCACCCAGAGCAGTGGCTGCGCCCCGGCCGGGAGCAGGCAGGAGTCCGTGCCACACCCCCAGCCAGGCCTGGCTGATCTGTCAGACAGTCTCATCAAGGAGAGTGACATCCTGAGCGACGACGAGGATGACTACCATCAGACTCTCAGACGGGGCAGCCCTACCAAAGACATTGAAATTCAGTTCCAGAGACTGAGAATCTCCGACGGCCCTGATGCAAAGCCAGCTGAACAGCAGCCTGGCACGGAGGGCCGGCCCACAGGGGAGCAGCCCAAGCTGGTGCGGGGGCACTTCTGCGCCATTAAACGGAAAGCGAACAGCACCAAGCGGGACAGGGGAACTTTGCTGAAGGCACAGATTCGCCATCAGTCCCTTGACAGTCAGTCTGAAAATGCCAACCTTGATCTCAGTTCTGTTCTCCAGCGAGAGTTCAGTGTCCAGAGTTTAACCTCGGTGGTCAACGAGGAGTGTTTTTATGAAACAGAGAGCCATGGGAAGTTGTAGTGCCATTTCAGTCCAGATGTGGGCTTGATGGCTTGTATTACTTTTAAACTGGTGGTCAAGTGGAAATGGCAGAAAAACTCATTATTGGGTTTTGTGCGGCATACATTTTCCCCACAAAATAGTTGTAAAGATTTAAGTTATTTTAATTTATTGTAGATCAGAAAACTAGATTGAACTGATCAGAATCTGTAAATTACTTAGTTTATAGCCCTTTTGATCAGGTATCAAAATGACTTAGGATCCTTAAAATTGCAATCTATTTTAATTTATGTGGAAAAAGTAAGATGGGGGAATTGTGATTAATAGGTCATTGTTTTTTTTCCAATCCTCTGGGCATTTTCTTTGAGCTGTTAGTTTTTGCTTTATTTAAAGCATATTTATTTTAATGTGGGTGAGGGGCACAATGTGCAGATGCTTCATTTTTGTAAGGTTGTTAACAGATGCCGTTTATACTGAACATGTCATATCTATGCAGTATATATATTAAAAGAAAGCTTGTACTGTATCTTATTTGATTATTTTCTCTACCAAGCTGTACAGTAAAAGGGAAATAAGTCACATATGGTGATCGTATTTTTATTGTCCTTCCGTAGAAGACAGAAAGAGTACACATCTGAGCATAACACTGTGGAAAGCAGCATTCGGGTGCGCTGTTAGAGTCTGTGTCTCTCCTGGTCGTCTTTTTCCTGAGTTTTGCTTTTATTTTGTTTGAGTTCTTCTCTGAAATTATAAGCAAAGAGGTGTGGGTCTTCATCACACATTTTTCGGTATACATCACACAGGCTCTTAAAGTGTGAAACAGAGAGCTGGCTGGGTCGAAGGGTAGGGTCCACGTCTGCCAACTCTAACAGTTTTCCAGTGCTTTCCACGCGCTGAACTTCAGGGAATAACATTCTGAGGAGAGAAAATCAAAATTTCAAAATTTTACTTAATTCCTTAAATCATGATGCTTCCTTCTATGCACTTGAAAATGACATCGAGAGGGAGTGGAGGCTGCGGCTGGAGTGTCCTTGGGGCCCCAAGCCAATGGAGAGGGATCTTGATCGTGCCACTAGGCAACAGGTACAAAGGACCACTGAAGGAGGAGCTCGTCTGCCCTGTGAGGTGTGTCCACAAGGGAAAACACCTTCCAAAGCTCAGTCAATACAAGTACCTTTAAGCCTTTAAGGTAAGTTTAAAGAAACATCTATTCAGTTGTATTCTTATAGAAATGTTTGATTTGCCTCATTCTAATATGAAACTTGTCTTATTTCTTGACTCTCTTAGCTTTTGTGAATGTTCACCGCCAAGGAATGACCTTTGCAAAGTTTGAAACCAGGTGATGTGAAAATGCAAAGATTTACCCTGCGGCATCTTTACAACTGATTTGAAGTATATATTTTAAATTTCATCTAACCTAGTAGATCACGGTTTTAAAATGAGTAACAAAACTGATTGAAATGTTGCAAAGCTACACCTGGATTTTATTTCTTTTCTCAATAGTTAGGGACTCTGCAGAGCGCAGAGGTCATGGCCAATGGAGATGGGAGTTTTTCTTACAGGCTGCTGGTCCTCTCAGTAAGGAACTGCACGTTCCCTATGGTGTCGGGTGAGCTGTGATCTTGGAGTTCAGCTTCATGGCAAGGGGGGGACCAATGTGTGGGTGCATGTGACACAAGGACACCAATGGGTCAAAGCGGGCACACTATTTGGGGTCCCTCTCTGCACAAGAGACGGTGTATAGGAGATGAAGGGGCCCATCACTTAGGTTGGAAATGCCGGGGCCAGCTCTGAGGCCTACTCCAGGATTTCCAAAAGTAGAATATACTTTTTGTGATTTCCCCCCCCATGAATCAGGGCCATCATGTACAGCTGTACAAGTCACACCCTGCGTGCAGGGTGGGTGTGAGCTGAAATCCAGTTCGGGTTCTACTTGTCAAATAGCGCACATCCTGGCTGGGGCTTGCCGCCTACCAGGGGTGGTAATGTAATGCCATCATTCTAACTAGCACCAAGACAGCTGGTGGCATCCGTCACTACTCCGCTCAAGAAGTAGTAACTCTCTGGTGAAGTATAAATCCTGGCCTAATTACGGCCAACAAATGGCAAGACAAGGATTTAACACCAGTCAGCTCCAATCCTCAAGAATGAATTTTGCGGGCTGCAAGGATTTCAGGATGCAGCTGCCCAGCTGTCCCTGAAATAATTTCATATGCTAAGAAGACACTTCATAGAACCAGAGCAAGAGCAAAGAGATGGGGCTTTATATAAAGGGGAGGTGGGATCAGAAAATGAGAAATGCGTGCCTATGGAGCTGGGCGCCTTTAAACAGCTAAAGTTTGGCCATATTAGATGGCAGCTTTTTAAAAAAACATCACACACAGCTTCCTGCCTAAGTACTTGGGCCTAATTAAACATTTTCTTGGCTGCCAATGGATAGAAAATATCACTGTGGTCATTTCAGGGCCTTCAAGAGGCGCTTGGACCCTAAAGCACCATGTTCTGTCTGGGTTTCCTGACAGTGGCCATGTGTGTGCACAGAGCAGTAAGCACAGCAGACTGAAGGAGCTCCCCATTACATAAAAACATGCTTGTATGAAGACCTCGTGACGTCATTTTGGCTGTTCCAACATTATACTTGCTTCCTAGTTCTAAGTGTGTCCTTAAAAGTGATATAGCAAGTTGGTGGGAAGAAGAGCACTCAAAAAACTCAGTATGGGGCGCCTAGGTGGCTCAGTCGGTTATGTGGCTGCCTTCAGCTCCGGTCGTGATCCCGGGGTCCTGGAATCGAGCCCCATGTTGGGCTCCCTGCTCAGCGGGGAGCCTACTCCTCCCTCTGCCCCTCTTCTCTGCTCATGCTCTCAGATAAATAAAAAAAAAAATCTTAAAAAAACAACCCCAACTCACTGTGATAATTTATTATTTGGCCTTTGTTTCAGGTTCCTGACACAGAGTTTCTAAATCCTTTAAAATTTCCTGATAAGGGGTAATAGGAGCATTTTTTGTTATGCCTAATAAAACTCCTTTTCAACCATACCTGAATTTGTGCTAATGAGATGACTCTTGGTGGGTCCCTAGATAGCTTTAGGATGGGGACAGTTGTCAAAGGAACTAACCCTGTGATTAGAGGGTTGGAACTCTGCCTCACCTCCAGGTCTCTAGGAAGAAGCGAGGGGTGGGAGACTGAGCTCAATCACCAGTGGCCAATAATGGAATCAACTGCCTAACGGACTGTCCGTAGAGACCCTTAAATGATGGGTTCAGAGAGCTTCTAGGCTGGTGAAGACAGTGAGGTGCTGGGAGGGTGAGGAGCCCCGAGGGGGCACAGAAGCTCTGTGTACCCCTTGGCTCCCATACATACTTGCCCTACGTCTCTTCCATTTGGCTGTTCCTGAGTTATATCCTTTATAATTGGATAAATGAAAAGTGTTTCCCTGAGTTCTGTAAGCCACTCTAGCAAATTAGTGAACCTGAAGTGGCAGGGGGTAGGGTAGAGGGGGTGTCACAGAAATCCCCATTTCAGTGGTGACCTGGGACTTGTGACTAGTGTCTGAAGTGGGAGCAGTCTTGTGGCCCCTGAACCCTTAACCTGTGGGCTCTGTGCCACTCCAGGTAGTTAATGTCAGACTTGAATGGAATTGTAAGACACCTAGTTGGTGCCTAAAGAATTGGGGGACTTGTTGGTGTTGGAAAAAACACCACACATGGGGTCAGAAGTGCTGAGCGTAAAAACGGTTCATATGGTCTGCTCTGAGAACTCAGGGTCATTATCAACTGCACAATTGTCAGTTTTTAGCTTGTACTGATGCTAAAACAAAACCTGCTGGTGGCCTCTAAGCTTAATGCAGGGCTTTGCCTTTTCCTCTGGGCCAGTCAAGGTTTGTTCACCTCAGGATTTGAATGAAGAGTGACATTTACAGTTAGCTTGAAGAATCCTAAAAACAAGGTTCTTAATCTTTAAAAGTGCTTAAGGATTTTAGAAAGCATGCCAGTGAAAGGCAGAGAAGGCATTCTTACCCAAGCCCTCGATAGCAGTATTTCCTCCGGAACTGAAATGCGTTCTGAACGACCTTCTCCACCAGCTTGAAGGGCTGCTCGATCCTGGGCTGCACCAGGGGGGTGAAGTGCACCACGCCCACGTCCACCTTCATCGTGAGCAAACATGCATCATTTTGTGGCATGGTAGAACATGATTAAACAATTCGTCTTTGTCAAACACAGGTGGACGGGTTTTTGACCGCATGGTTCTCATAAACCCTTACATGGACTCCGGCTTCATCTTCTACAGGCAGGTAAGCTGTTGCACTTGGCTTTGAGCTGACTCAGAGCCATCCCGTGCGTCTCCTCTGTAATGACATCCACTAGACCTGTGCTTGATGATCACTTAATGTTAAAATGTAGTTTTACAATGGCCTTTAAGATCAATCCAAATCATCATTAAAGTCAGTAGGCAGCTAACAGATAGCTTTAGAGTATTTTATTTAGCTTTGGAAAGTGTAAAAAAAATAAGCTGCAGCAGCAGTTCTGGCTATAAGCTGGGCTTCCAAACACAGAAGAGAAGGCAGATGGCCCCCCAAGGACCATTTAGTGCTAAACTCCCCAGAAAGGGAATCAATTAGGACACCACTTATTTTGGGTACAGACCCCGATTAATCAGCTGGACCGAATTCATGACTGTCACCTGCACGGCCACATCACTTTCTGGGAGCAACTTGAAATGCCCCAGGAGGCCCAGGCAGGATCAAATAGAAAGTGGAAACCCCCCAAAGTGTCACTGTTTGAGTGGTGAACTAGCACTAGCAGTTGAGATTCTCTAATTATCAGAAAATAAAACTTTTCAGGCATATCTGTTAGGAGATTTAAACCCTGTCTCTATATTCAAAATAACAAAGGAATAGTATCGAAAGTAAGGACAAAGGGAGAGATAGAGTCAAAGCAGTTATCATGCACAAAAATGCCTGACAGAGTCCATGGCCTAACAAATGGGAAGTCTGTTTATAATTTACAAAAGCCTTGTTCTCTAAGGAATTGTTAAATTTGCTACTTAGAACATCACACGGACTCTACAAAGGCTAAGAAAGTACAGCAATTGATGAAGTTGGGGTCGTACTGCTGCTTTTCAGAAGGAATTCATTCCATTTTTTAAATTCCACAGGGGTTATCTTGTTCTCTTGGGAGGCCTTGCTTCTAAAAATCCTTGTGGCTATAAAACTCCTTAAAATCAGTCTGTCATAGATGAGAATGGCAGTGTTTTCAGTTTCTTGATTTTAGGATGGAGGAAAAGTACTTGTATATGAGGTGTGGACAAGAAAAGAAAATGAAGACGGGCCCGTCATCAGGGGGCCTGGGCAGGCTTGTGGAGTAGCCAGTGGTGTTTCTCCTGCTGCCATGACGTACCCTTTCCTCGAACCATCACTGACCCTGTCCCAACTGTTTCAGATTAGCTACGGTGTCCCCACGGGATAACCAGAAGAGGTCCACGGTAGGCACGCGGAGGACGGCCTAGGCAGTAGAGTGAAAACCGCCAGCAGAGAGGCCTTTCCACACCGACTCCCCTAAATATCCATCAGCCTTCAGGCTACTTTGGTGGGACAGGAGTTACCCCAGAGAGTGACTATCTGTAATGTTAAATGTTCTCATTAAATTTTAATAGTTTTTCAAATTGAGTTCTATGTGTTGCTTAATCAGTTTCTCCAGGTTTGGTAACAAGTACTTCTATAGGAAACGAAGTGCTTGGTTAAAAGGCCAGGACTTTCTGTAGACTGGCACAACCCACCACCAGGGTCCCGGGGTCTGGGAGAGGTTTGTGATCAAGAGAGCAGAGAGCGGCACTGGGAGGGTAAGGACTGTGGAGGGGGCCTCGGGGTTCAGGTGGAGTGAACAGGAGCACTACAGTAAACAAGGGAAGAAAAGACGGCTTCATCTGAAAGCATTTCTGTGGCCGGAAAAAGAGCTAATCTGTGTGGAGGACGGTGGAAGAAGCTGCCCCAGATACACTACCATGACTTCAAATGTCAAAGAGTGCTCACAAACTCTGAAACATCCATCCCCACCTTTCCTCCTATTGATTTGGAACAGAGAAGTGAACCCAGCTGTCCTGGAAGGTTCTGGGCCTTGCCCCGCCCCACCACTCTACGCCTCTCCATCTGGCATCCCGTCCCGGTCCCCCACTCTGCCGCCCTCCAGGACTCAACTCCAACCCTTCTCTGCCGATTCTTCCCCAGTCCAGTCAGTTCGGATGGTGTTCTTCACAGGTACCAGGTGTGATCCAACAGCCTGCCATTCTCCAGGGAAACGAATCTTGCAGCACAACAGGAGATACAGTTTGAGCCCTAGCCAACCCCAGCCCATGAAATATTATAAAAACTCTAAATGAGGCACTAATACAGGTTTAGATACAGTCTCCTTCCAGTACAGAGACTGCTGCTTCCAACTTCTGTGGATTTTAAAATTTGGCCTATTTGCCTGATTTTATTCCTTTGAGATAAAGTTGGTGTTTGCAAATATAGGAAATGTCTCACATTGGCTTTAGATAAACTTTTCTAAGCCCTGTACCAATATAGCAGCACCCTATGTTAACTGTAGCAGCCTTCTAAAGTTTGAATGTAATTGTGTTACCCAGTTAAGTTGGCTAACAGCATATCCCAGCTACAAGAAAATACCCACTCACAATCAGATCCAGTTCCTATTTAGAGGAGGACCCTGAGAAACTCAGTCTGAAAACGGCTATTCCAGCAATGTGTCCTTGTTTCTCTGGGAAACCTCCCGTACTCTTCTCTACTCCTGCCCCCAAAAGCACTTTTCAGAATCACTCTGAACGATAGAGCCCATTTTTCTCTAGAAATATAGGAAAGCTAGTCTGTAACTAGGGTAACAGATACAAAAATGCTTTTTACTTACAATTGAATGCTTATTTAAAAATTGCAACCATTATTCTTCCTTCCCTGAATTTTAACTCTACTAAAGGATTTCCTTACAAAAAAAGAAATCAGTACATAGGCACTAGATACACTTAAAAATTCTATTTTAATGTTGTCAGTCCCTTTCTAAATTCAGTCTATTGGTATACCGAAATGACCTGCTAAAACTTCAAATTAAAGGATTTATAGCAAATTTAAATATTTGCCTCTCAAATCCACTCTAATATCAATGCTGATTACGTTTCTCAACATTAGCAGCCGTGGCTCCAAAAGGCTGCAGGCAGCAGTTTCATTTTCCAGGCCAGCATGTCTAGGGCATGACTGGTTATGAGCTCAGAGCTGCACTTTAGACTCATAAGAGACCTGGGATAAGAAGCTATTAAACCTCTAGCGTTAGAGACTGCCAACTCAGATCTCGAGTCACCGTGAGGATAGAGAATGCTGAAGAATGGGCAGCCTGTTCCTGACGGAGAATCGTAATATGCCAAAGAGCTAACTTACCACCCCTGTGAAATGACACAGGCACGACAGGAGCCATTAGCCAAGAAAGGGTCTTTGACCCTTCCCCTGGCATTCAAGACCGTGGAAGGAAAAATCATTAGGAAGCTGTCGTTTATAATTAGCTGAACTAGAACCATAACCGGGAGAGGACAGAAGGGTGAGAAAGAAGGTCAACAGGGAATAATCAATAAGCCTTCAGGAGCAAGAAGAGAAGGATTTTCAAAGTTCAAGGTGGCACTGTCTCAGACTCGTGTAGATGGGAATGGGAAGGGTGTGGCTGGATGTGATGTGTCCGGCACCACCTGAGGTTTGGGGGAGTCACATTCAGCGTGGGTGAAATGACAGATTGAGGTGAGCACCCTGGGGGATGCTTGGGTCCTGCACCCACCAGAGTCTGACTCTTCAGGTGCCTGCACCGAGCTAGTGACAGCCTCCAGTTACAACTGCCCTGGATACGAGTAACAGAGCGGCAAGTCACTAACGCCTGGGATACTCTAATTACACGTTTTATAGAAAAACATTCACAAATATGAATGTACATCAGATTTCCTATAACTGGTTTATTCTGCCTGTAATCTTTGTCCTAAGCCCAATTTAAGGACAGAATTTCAGTTTTAAAACCTTAAAATGCAAACACTTTAACAAAAGCATCCCAGGTGTTCTAAACCAAAGTATTCAACAAGGGCTGACACACGGTTTGTACCTACACATCTTTCTTTAAAGTTTAGAATTTGTATTTTCTACAGCAATATTAATTTCTCCAGAAGTTCAACCTCACCTTTTTTCCTTCCTATAGATTTCTGAATGGTTTTTCTTTCTTTCCTCCTCAGAATCACAACACAGTCACAGTATTTCCCCTCAGCATACGTATGTAAGAGAACAGATATGACAGTGAGCTGAGAGCATGATGAGGAATACGCCTGAGAGAGGCCCACGTGAGGGGAGCAGATGGAGAGAGAAAGCATTTTACTGGGTAAATTATGCACGTAATTGTATGCATGTAAGTAAATGTATGCATGAATGAATGTAAATTGTGCCTATTAGTAATAACAACAGCAAGATGAGTCAGGGTCTCTTGGTCTCAAGTTAGGGAAACAATTTCAAGGACGTGAATGCTTAATTCTAAACAAAGCACAAGAGGGACAAGAACTATCAAACATCACATTAGGGTTCTCGGTTATATTTAACCTGGAGTTCCTGGGTCAGCCTTGGGGGAAACACCCTTCTAAAACCATGACCGTCGCCATCAACCATGACTTTGGTGTTGGTGAAACGGCAGCACCTGGAGGCGTCTGCTCCTGCCACGGCCACAGGTGGTAGCACCCCGGGCAATCACGAGGCCCGGCCTCAGCCTCCGCAGGCCCAGAGAGGCTCCAGCACCTCCGAGCCAGGGAGACTTCGAATCTAGGCAGACTCACAAGGCACTCAAATAAATACTGCTGCTATGAAAAACAGTAATAGTAAAAGACTCATAAATGAACATGAAGGCAAATACATTAATTCATAAGGAGCCATGACTGCCAAAGAGACTAGGCGTGAACTCGAGCTGCCTTGTCAGTGCCTTCCTCTCTTAGGAAATCACCGCTACGATTAGAAGACCGTGTAGTGCCACGGAATGGGAGCAGGTATACACAGACTGATGGTCGTAATGGGCGCGGCACCAGCCCGAGGGCCTGACTCCTCACTGGCACAAGCAGTGCTGGATTCTCCTCAGCCACATGCCGTAAGCACCCAGGCCAGTGCTCCTTCGGCTGAGGTACTTGTTCTTACACGTACTCATGCTGTCCTGCTCTTGTTTCTCACTTGAAAGACATTCTGTCTTTCTAAAGGTGGATTCTGTAGCTCCTGGATCTCATCCTCTACATGCTTATTTTACTCTTTAACTCATGGCGGTCTGGGGGCACCTAAGAGTCTTCCCTATGTATCACCAGAGAAATAAAAATAAGTAAGAAACATGAATAAAACCAATGCAAGCTTTATAAGCTGGCAAGATCACAAAGTCCTCACGAACTCACCCAGTGCCCTACAGTGTGGGCTGGGGCTGAGACGCAGCAGGCCTAGCTGGGTAGGAGAGAGACACGGGGAAGGAAGGCGAAGAGGAGCAAGGGACGAGGAGGGTCAGGCCTGAACCAGGCATCCTCAGCCCACCATCTTGGATACTGCCACCAAATGAGGATGTTTTAAAAAAAGTGTTCTGCTCTTCAAAATAATGTGCAAAGAGGGTGCAACGGTTAAGTCCCAACAAATACCTATTTATACTACCTGTGAGACTAAAATAATTAGATCTGCAAATGTCACCACAAAATCCAAAGATAGTCTTAACATTCTACAACAATGTGAGGAAGACAGAAAACAAGTCCTCAAGATCCTTTCTCCTAAAGACATAAAAAGGAGAAACAAAACATAAAAATAAGGTAACAGATAATAAACGAATGTAAATGCAACTTGTATAGTTTCCCCTTATCCACAGTTTGCTTTCTGTGCTTCCAGTTACCCGCGGTCAACCACAGTCTGGAGGCAAAAGATCCTCCTTCTGGTCCAGTGTCAGAAGGTCCCCAGTTGCCTAACGCTGTGTCACTGCACCTACGTCCCTCCCCTCCTGTCACCTCATCATGTAGGCATTTTATCCTCTCCCATCATCATCATAAGAGTGAATACAGTACAATAAGATATTTTGAGACCACACATAACTTTTATTACAGTATAACTGTGCTAGGTGTTCTACTTTATCATTAGTTATTCATCTTTTACTGTGCCTGATTTATAAATTAAACTTTAGGTATGTATACATAGAAAAAAACATGGGACATATAGGGCACGGTCCTATCTGCAGTTTTAGCATCCACTGGGGTTCTCAGAACATATCACCTGTGGATAAGGGTGGTGGGGGGTGGGGAGTACTCTGCAGAAACATATACCAGACTTGATAAAAATCAACAGAATTAGGATGGCCTTTCAGACATTTGAGAACACACGTAAACCAAAGAATATTCATCTTCATTTTTTTTTTTTTCAGAGAGAATGTGAACACGGATGTGCAGGGGAGAGACACAAGGAGACGTAGAGAGAATCTTAAGCAGGCTCCATGCCCAGCATGAAGCCCAACACAGGGCTCGATCTCACGACCCTGAGTTCATGACCTGAGCCGAAACCAAGAGTTGGACACTCAACCAAGTGAGCCACCCAGGCATCCCCATCATCTTCATTTTTAACAAAGTCCTCACTACAACCAACTAATCTATAAGCTACCAATTATAAAAGTTAAAGTCTTCAGGCTAGCCTAAAGCATTATTTTAAAACTAAAATGACCATAAAGATGGAGAAAAATAATGAACTGATCATCCTCATAGCTGATACTATTAATTTTCTAAGACTGGGTCTGAAGAGAACATTATTTTAAGATTAAGTCAATCACTTTAAATTTGTGGAACCAGAATAGGTAACTACTTTAACCTTACTCCGCACATTATTATTTTTAAAGATTTTATATACTTATCTGACAGAGAAAAAGAGAGCACAAGCAAGGGGAGCAGCAGAGGGAGAGGGAGAAGCAGATTCCCCTCTGAGAGGGAGCCCGATGTGGGGCTCGATCCCGGGACTCTGGGATCAAGATCTGAGCCAAGGGCAGATGCTTAACCAACTGAGCTACCCAGGCGCCCCTCCACGTTCATTATCTTTTTAAGGCTAAACAGAAAGCAAATAAGAGAAGACATGGTGTTTTAAAAATCAGAACCTCAGCTTTCCACTGGAATTAAGTGGGCAGCATTTTAAACATACAGTGAGTGGGCATCATCCCAGACCAATGACATAAGAGCCATGGGGCTGGGGCCTGAGCCTCTGGCTTTTTGAAAGCCAGATGATGTTCATGTGTGGGCAGGGGTGAGGAACTCCTATCTGGTGAACAAGCTCATACAGAAGTATGTATTGTTATGATTTCTAAAATTTTCAGTTAAATTATTAGGTCTTTCGGAGAAAAGAGAAAAGCTTGTCTGAGTTTCAGATTATCATTACTCAGAAAAACACACTAAGGAAATTACATGTAATTTTTTCTTAAAATAGCTACATGAAAACATGTTAAATGCTGAGTCACTGGCCAGCTACTCTTGCAGAGTCAGTCACGGACTTGGCATGAGAAGTGTTTTTATGTGAAGCCAAGGTTATGTTTTTTGCACAGTTATTCAGACTACCACAGAAAGAAATGACTCGTTATAATAAGACCTAGAAATACATTCTTTTCAGGGTACCTGGATGGCTCAGTCGGCTAAGTGTCTGACTCTTGATGTCAGCTCAGGTCATGATCTCAGGGTCATGAGATTGAGTCCGTTGGGATTCAATAAGATTCTCTTTCCCTCTCCTTCTGTCCTTCCTTGCCCTGCTTATGTTCTCTATCTAAAGAAAAAGAAAAAAAAGAAGTACATTCTTTTCTAAGTAGAGGCAGGGAAGTGCTATGAGTGTATAAGGGCTTCAAAAATCACAATATGCTGGGCCTGAATCCCATTCCTGCTACTTACTCATTTCACAACCTTAGTCAAGTCACTTTACTTCCCTGGAGCTCAGTTTCTCATGTGTAAAATGAGGATCCCTATTATTTCACAGGCTTGTCTTGAGAATCATGTAGCACAGTGCCTCAAACAGTACCCAGCATACAGGAAGCAGTTTCATAAACAGTAGATATTATTATTAGGCCAAAATGACAAAACTAAAGAGTTACAAAATGACTTAAAATTGCAGTCTCCTTTAGAAAGGACAAAATTATACTTTTAATCATACAAAGTTAATGTATAGTTTAGTGTTATTTTATATGCTCAAAATCAGTTTCTGGGTTCATTCAACAAATATCTGTTGTACCCCTATTATGTGCCAGGCACCATTCCTGTCACAGGAGACTCAGCAACGAACAAGTCATACAGGAGTCCTTGCCCTCGTGAGGTTCCTCAGCCAGGGAGTTAGCAGCAGTGGGACTCAGAGGTGGTAGGATTCTTCATCTATTTTGAAGTTTAGAAACAAAATGATTTGGATGTTTGGTATGGAATCAAGGATGTTTTTAAGATCTGGGACCTACCTGCCAAATCAAAGGAGGAGTTTGCCATGAATGGACACGGGGAAAATGAGAAGTGCTACGGGGAAGGTCAGGAGTTTGCCTTGTCCAGGACGGCTCTGCTATGTCTATCAGTGACGTGGCACTGGCCACCGGACACAGCACTCAGGTGTGCAGGGGAGAGGGCCAGGGAAGAGGCAGAAACTAAGGTAAAGGTAAGATTTATCTACAGAAGTCTCTGGACTTAAAAGATTTAATTCTCTTTAATGTCCACAGTGGAAGCAGTTGAGGTCAATATAGTTCGATTTCTCTAGCAACCTCTACTCTTCCATCTCCTTTTTTTATACAAGGAATTCTACCTTGATTAAAGGTCTGTAATTTATGAAAGTTATTTGCATTTCGAAGTCTGCTTTTCTAAAAGAGGCAGTTAATATTTTATTGGGTAAGTGTTCACATCAAGTTAGAAGAATGATCAAAAATGTTTTGAAAATAGAAATAAGGCCTCCTTATCCTGGAGGCCAGAGTTGGGAGCAGGCTGTCCCCTCCACCTGCCATCAGGAAGCCTCAGCACAGGTGAATCTGTACTAACCATGGCAGAGAGCAAAGCAAGGTGAGGCACTAAAGGGATCCGGCAGGTTTCTTCTGCGATAGCAGAAATAACAATGCTGTTACTGTTAGTGCCTGAAATTCAACTCTACTTCGTCCAGGATTTATACAAAGAATTGTTTAAATATTTCCATGAAGTAGAAGTTTATATATTAAAATTACAACACTATGGCTAAAAAATCCACAGGCATTAGATTTCTAAGAGAAAAAATACACTGCTAAATGCCAGACTTAGAAAAGATGAAAACAAAGCAACAAAAACAAAATCTAGAAAAATCCAGATAATTGAAATGTGTATTTTATTCACTGCTTTTTAAAGAAATGACTGACATCTAATATGGCTATCAACATTTGGAAAATTTAAAAAAAATCAATTACAAAATCATCATCTTTCTCTGTAGTGGCTATGAATTTATAGCTTGTAGAATTAAAATTAGTGAAGAAAAATAAAATGCAAACCCAAAATAGATGGACATGAAATATCTGTATCATTATTCATGGTACTAGGACCTCAATATTTGATTTCCGTTTCACTTAATATGCTCCCTCACATCATTTTGGTATAATTTCTTCACAACATTATCTAGAAGTTCTAATTTATTAAGTTATACTTCAGAAACCTTTCTCAGTGGAAGGAATAACAGCAGAAATTTCAGGACACCACCCCCCCCAAATACTTGTAGGTTTACTGGTCAGATTCTAGTCAATAGTTGTTGCTGAGTTTTCTTTTATTTAGAAAAATGTATATATATTTTATTTATCTTAAAGATTTTATTTATTTATTAGAGAGAGAGAGACAGCAAGAGAGGGAACACAAGCAAGGGGAGTGGGAGAGGGAGAAACGGACTCCCCGCTGAGCAGGTAGCCTGATGCAGGACTCGATCCCAGGACCCTGGGATCCTGACCTGAGCCGAAGGCAGATGCTTAACGACTGAGCCACCCAGGCGCCCCTAAAAAAAAATGTATATATATTTTAAAAACTGTCTTTTGAATGTTTTTTTTTTTTGAAAGTTACTGATTTTGTGACTCTTGATTTCAAGGAAGTCACAAGCACTGGAATAAAAAGATAGTCTCAATTATCATTTGAAAGCACAATCTAGTTAAAAATATTTCAGACCACATTCTTTAATTGGGGACATAAAATAATAAATGAGATCTTCCAACACAGATAAAAATTCAAAAATAAATTATAACTGTGGACTAAAACACGACATTAAAGGAAAAGAAAGCCTTTTTGTGAGCACCCAAATAATTCCTCCTCTGTATACAGTGACACAAAAGCATTTTCAGCTTTCAGGTTTCAACAAATCCTGTTGTAACAACAACTCCCTCCCTTCCCGCCTCTCCTTTCTTAATTCTCCCACAGCTCAAAAAATGAGATGGAGAACCTGGTATTTATCTTCTAGCACCATCCGCAGTTTCTACCTCAGATTTCCATGTTGCTCTTTATTTGCAAGTTAACTTGCTGGAGCTTTGTCACTAATACCCAGAAGCTGTGAGATGAGCCTCATGTGTGTGGCTTCTCCTTATCATACAGCTTCACTGGAAGACAACGGACAAAGGGGAATTAAGACATTGAAGGCTACTGACAAAAGGTATGGAAAATGAGAAGCTTCAATAATGCTCAGAAACAGACCTTTAAGTATCATGTAGCTTGAATTATAAGTTGTAAATCTGTTTTTTAAATATTAGCTTTGTTATAAATAAATCTTGTCTGGAAAACTGACTTTACATATTTAATGAAATCCACTCCAGATTTTCTGTTGGCAAATAGTTGATAAAATTAACATTCGTGGGTTCTGTTCTGTATGCAGTGTGTTCTGGAACCATGAGACTTCTCTATTTCGAACTAAGTTTTTACCTGCGACCCCACTACTTCTTCTTGCTTTTGCAGCATTTCACCACCATCACCACCATCACCACCACCAGTGAAACAAAACATACTTTTATTCTGTACCAGATAGAAATTTGAGAGAACAGGCCACAAACTGTATTAGACTTGTGGCTGGAGAAGGAAAAGACTTCACAGCAATATAGCTAAGATGCCAGTATATTTTTACAAAGGAACAGAATAGTGACCTTCATTGTAGAGAACAAATTCTTTCTGCATAAGTTCTCTGTGCAGAAGAAAGCATTTAAAATCCAATATTCAACAGTAAGTGAGCGCTATGCTAACTGAATGCAATGTCATATTGTTTACGCTGATTTTGGCTGTCTGTAATTTATCACTGCCAGTACTTGTTAATTAAGACGAACAAGCTGTCTGCAAGCCTGAATTACACTGAATTTATAAAATGTATTGGTTAATGGGAAGAAAAAGGTTATAATTGGGAAGCTGAGCAAAGACTGATCAACACATAAAGGTTACTCAACCAAAGTAAAAATAAAGAGAGAAATGAGATGCTCTTAGAGAATGGTAACAGCAATCTTGACTTTGAGGAAACCCTAAGCTGAAAATGGTCTGGGAAGACAGTAATTTAGCGAACTGGCTGGAGTCTGAAATGTTAAAATCCAAACCTGAAAACAGCTATTATGAAACTATAAACATGTTTCATTTTCTTCTAGAATCTTTAACTTCTGTTCTATTTTGGTCTCAGATATGAAAAGAAATTTGGAAAACAGAAAGAAATGAACTGTATGGTTCCACACAAAGCCTAAGTACTCTGATGTGTATATAAGTCTGATACTTAAGAATTTAAAATTTCCGGAAAACACTCCCCTAAAATTGTCACATTTTAAGACTGCAAACAAAAATAGAACAAAGGAATTTAGATAGCCCAGGATTTAACTTCTTAGAGAACCAGCGTTCTAACTATGTTAAGTATGGACTCTTAATACAGGCATGGATTAGTATTACTTCAGATATTTTATAGAAGCCAGCCATCAACCTCCTTGGGTAAGTCTGTGAGGCTAAGCCATGTGTCCTACTAACGCCCTCTCAAGTGGTGTTTTTCTTAGTGGGACAGGGAGTGAACAAAGTTGACAGTTAATGGTGCTTTCTGCCTCCACATGCAGCATTTTTCTCTGCTCCCGGGGAGCACGCAGAGAGGCTCTCACCACGATGTACCAGGGGTAAAGGTGGGGAGAGGGGAGGAGAGCAGGACACTGCTGCTGAGACCTGTGTGGCACAGGGTGATTTACCACCTCTGTGTCCTTCCTAATTGGAAAAAAATGATGATGCACAAAGTTGTATCTACAGTTTCTTTCAGCCCTAAGATTCTATGAAAATAAATTAGCTCAATGAAAGAGAAAAATTTCAAATGCCAATAAGTATCAATTGTCGCATGACATAAAACAAACATACTAGTAAGTGTCAGTTATAATTTGTGGAGTACTTCCTATGTGTTAGATATTGTTCTAAGCCCTTAAAATGCATTTAACTCTTTGATATATATACAATAATCCTCCCCATTTTCCAGAAGAGGATACTAAGGCACAGAGACGTTCTGGAGGGCTAAGAGTTGACCCCAGTGTTTTGCATTCAGAGCCCATACTGCCTTTTGTGAAATACATACGAATCACGGTAGAGCCATGGTGTCTTAATACATCACTCAAAAATTAGTGCAGAAACAAAAAAGCTGTTATTACTGTATTTCAGAAACTGTTGTTATTTCTTTCAAGGCAGAGAGCACTGCCAGATTAAAGCAGAGCCAAGCCACAGATTCGGTGTAATTTTTTCTCTCTTAAAGAAAGAAAAAAGGGAAGAAAAAAATGTTAAATTATTTTTGGTATCCTTTCATATACAACTAATGATGTGGTTATTTCTGGCATGTACTTTCAAGATTCAGTGTCACTACTTCTGAATCCGTCTGAATAACCAGTTTTGCAGGAGACTGCTTCATTTGGGTCAGGGTAGGATTCTGGTCCCAACCAGACAGGATCTCACATTCTCATAAGCAAAAGACAGAGGCTTCATTGTTCCAGTTTTGAGTATCTTGTACCTGAAGTGAAACGAGTGCTAACCTAGATAAGGATTTTGCAAGAGTTCATTAACTGGAAATCAGGGATAATCATGCCTATGGCTTTACCTTCTTTCCACGAATTTCCTTTCCTCCTTAAACAGTTCACTTGGGTCACATGTCTGGCACATGGTGAGTGCTTAAATTTTTTTTTAATAAAATCATTTTTTGAATACTTAAAACTTCTCCACTATGTATTCATAAATCATTTTTAAGAAGTGGGCTTCAACACTGTTTCTAACTAAAATACTCCATAGATAATAAAGAAGAAAAGAAAAGTTTTAAAAAGCTCTAATGCTATTAAAATTCTTACTAGATCATCCAACTGGAATCTGATAGGTCAAAATCTCCTAATAAGGCCCACTGCCCACATTATAGACAACTTCGGCATAGTTTAAGTTTTAAAAAGAACAAGCGGACAGCTCTTTTCTCTATGCCATGCATCAGGCACCACCCATCCACACACACTCAGGAGAATAGCAGCCTTTGAGGGCCTGGTATGAGCTTTTCTCCTGGGCTACAGTGTCCTCATCTACTGTGGGGTCTATTCAAATGTGTTCTTTGCTTCCACTGTACATGGATATGGAAGCCTTTTTTGTTCATGCTTTCTTTGAATCCTGATTTGTCTTCTTTCCCTAGCCTTTGTTACTTGGTTCCCTGCTGCAGAGATAGAACTACAATCTTGATCAAGGGCCATCATCATCAAATACCGGGTAACGGTGGGCAAAGATAAAGGTGATGTCATGGCGTCAGCTGGGCTCCAGCTCCTTGCTTTCATCCTGGCCTTATCTGGAGTCTCTGGAGTGCTCACAGCCACTCTGCTGCCTAACTGGAAGGTGAATGTGGACTCGGGCTCCAACATCATAATGGCCATTGTGCAGCTGCAAGGGCTGTGGATGGACTGCACATGGTACAGCACCGGGATGTTCAGCTGCACCCTGAAGTACTCCATTCTGTCCCTCCCCATCCACGTGCAGGCTGCACGGGCCACCATGGTTCTGGCATGTGTCCTGTCTGCTTTGGGGATCTGCACTTCTACAGTAGGGATGAAATGCACTCGCTTAGGAGGGGACAGAGAAACAAAGAGTTATGCTTCTTTTGCCGGAGGCATCTGTTTCATGTCTGCGGGGATCTCTGGTTTGATACCAACAGTGTGGTACACGAAGGAGATCATAGCAAACTTTCTGGATCTGACAGTTCCAGAAAGCAACAAACATGAACCTGGAGGAGCCGTCTATATTGGATTCATTTCGGCTGTATTGCTGTTTATCTCTGGCATGATTTTCTGCACTTCCTGCATTGAAAAGAATCCAGAAGCTTGGCTCTCTCAACCCAAGCAGCAGCAAATCTCCACCACACAACCAGAGGGCAATTCAGCATACAACCTGAAAGATTACGTGTAAATAACTGTGTAATGAGTATGGAATTTTCAGGTGCCTACTGTGACTTTTGTCTATTTTGGAGAAAAAATATAAATGGGGTCACTTAAAATGCCGACAAACTATTGTGTACAATTATATATCTGTTTTAAGATTATTTTTCCATTACTATTTTCATGTTTTATCTAGAGGTTTATAATTGAGAGAGGTTCTGTTATATTAAGGCAATTAATTGATGGCTTTTTTTTTTTCCCTTTTAAGATAAACTGTTGATATATCTTCTGGGTTGTTACTTAATTGGATTTTATAAAAGAACTAAATTGCCAAGTATACAAAGCATCTTTCTCTGGTGTTGATCTAGGGTTTCACCTGCTTTTGCTATCTGTCTGCGACACCACAGTGGCTTGCTTATGTTTTCAAGCCCCACTGTTTGAACCTAAGGGAAAGAAGAGATGTCCACCTCTCTTTGATGTTGCCCAAACCAGCCTCCCCAAGTTCCTACCTACTATGACTTCCCTGCTTCTTTTTTCATTTTAGAAACATCTATGCACACATATGAGAGCCAACAATATGATATTCAAAGATTAGGTAGGCAGAACAAAAGAAAAGAAATTGGTAAATGCTACCACAGCAAAGCAAAACCAAACCAAACTAAATGCACACCGAAATCTCCGGGACTTGAAAGCCTTAGGTACAAAATAAGTGAGAATAAAAACAGTTTGCTTTAGAGTGCTCAAGAGGTGCCATCTTCTGCGGCTAGCAAGAGGATGCTCCAGATTAAGTTCGTTTATCCTACAACAACTCAGGTCCCTCCACTGCCCTCTCCTTTACCCTCTCATTGATTACTAGCTGGATGATGAAAGTTCCTTTTAAGTTGTCATTTTTGTTCTCAAGTTTGATTCATGTTAAACATTGCTGTTCTCTTATAAATGAACTGCTTCAGTTAGTTAATAGAAAGACAAGGTATGTTTTTAAAAATTAAGTTAAATTATGATATGTAATTCAAATATCTTAAGAAAATAAAAACTGGATTTTCTAACATGTAAAGGGGACATTGCACATTGTTTCTAATAATTCATGTAATTTAAACTTAGTCATTGCTCACCATATAATGGTAAAGGGGGAAAAGGACTATTTCTTTGTACAATAACTCGGGAAGTGGGAAGAATATCTTTTATGTGAGTACATATTTTTCATTTGTGCCTATAGAAGTAGAGACTAAAGTACTTTATACTTAGTTTACTCATTCTCTTCTGCAACAATGTCATTAGCTATTAACAGAATAGCTAAAATGAAAAGGTACTATTTCATATGGGAATAAGGAAAAGACTTATTTAAACAGAAGTTTAAATGATTGTTTATAAAGTATGGATTCCTGGGACGCCTGGGTGGCTCAGTCAGTTAAGCGTCTGCCTTTGGCTCAGGTCATGATCCCAGGGTCCTGGGATCGAGTTTTGCATCGGAATCCTTGCTCAGCAGGGAGTCTGTTTCTTTCTCTGCCTGCCGCTCCCCCTGCTGGTGCGCTCTCTCTCTGTAGCTCTCTCTGACAAATAAATAAAATCTTAAAAAAAATGATTCTTTTAGGAATCAAAGTATTTTCTAAACAAATGTCATACTAAAAATAACTGATAAAAATATTTTTATGCAAATTAATGTGACAGGATTTCTTTGACACCTATATGGCTCTCTCATTTGGCTTAATGTGACTGGCTTTATTTGCAGCTTATGTATCCTATAGTCCTATACTAAAAGTTTAGTGTATATATTCTATGAAAGTATATATATACACTTCAAAAAACAATTTTTACTTAGCTCTGGAATATTTTCTTAAATAGACACAGGAATGTTTTGAATTCTAGAAAAGCAGCCATTTCATACAAATGGCCTAATTTTTTTCCAGACTGGACATAGCAATGATAACATGGTTTGGAATCCCTCCATCCCTGTAGGAGTTCCCCCTACTGCATTCCTCCACCTGGAATCCTCCCACACTCACCCCTTGCCTGCCCAAGCTCAGACTCATCCTTCAGGGTTCACGCGGGGCCTCCTTTGTGAACACATTCCTGACTCCCTGAAGAAGTTTGCTGCTTCCATCTCTGTACTCTCAGAGAATGCTCTATCACAAATTATTAGTTTACATGATTGCATTTCCAACTAGACTGGGAGACAAGTGTCTTTTTTACCTTTGTATTCTCAGTGACTTGCAAAAGTGCTTACAAGGGCATTGCCAGTCTTATTTCAGTCCTTCGTGTATGAACACTGACTGGTTTAAACCCCAGAAGGACTCTAGGTGGTAGGTACTATTCTTAGTATCAGGGGGAACTGACACAGAAAAATACCATTACCTAACTTGCCCAAGGTCTTCAGCTAGTAAACGGAGAGATGGCATTCAACCTGAGGGAACCTGGCTCTACTACCGTCAGAGCAGGTGGGTACAAGGTGACGCAGGGCACAAGGCTACACAGTACATATTACTGAATCTAAGTTTTGGTTTGCTCATGTGAAAATGAGGATAAAAAAACAACACCTACTCAGGGAGCTGTGAAGATTCAATGAGATGATGTGCACACAGCATGTGCGGGGGGAGCATGCAACAGATGCTGCCCAGTGGTTCCTGGTCTAACCCGGCTGTTTCCAACTGGGGGTGGGTTGAGCCTGCAGAGGACACGTGGCAGCGCCTGGAGACATTTCTAGTTGTCACAACTGGGGTAGTGGTACTGGAATATAGTGGGCGGAAGCCAGAAATGCTGTTAAATATCCTACAATGCACAAGACAGCCCAGGCAACAAAGAATTTTCTGGCCGAAAATGTCAATAGTGATGAGGTTGAGAAGCACTGGTCTAATGTATTTGAATATACTTAAACTTTTTTTTTTTTAAATAAGTTACCAAAATAAAACCAAAAGAAGGAAACACCAGAAAGCCCCAGAATATCATGCTTATTTTACCTAGGGAGCAGATATATGTGTATATTAAGTATATGTATGTATATATACATATGACTGAAGAAATGAGCTAGTAGTTTGGGCAAAAATGTAGATACAGGTTAAGTCAGGAGAACTGGGTACAGGAATGGAGAGATTTAAGAGAAATGTAAGTGATGTCAGAAGGTGGTAACTAGTGACTTGTTGTGCAAGTAAAGGTGAAGGGGGTTGCCCTCATGTCCCCCACCTACCCCCCGCCCCCGCCCCAGTGATACCTGCCCGATGTGGGCAGGTGAGGAGGTCATTAGTCAGCACACTACATACATATGGGCAGGAACAGCCTGGGGTACGTAGACAGAGGTTCAATTCTGGAGTCAGTGTTTTCTCATTACATTCCTTTTATTACCATATTTTTAGCTACATGGCTTTAGCATAAATCAACTTTATTGACTTTGGAGGATTTGTATCCTAGCCTACAATCTTACAGAACCTGTTGCATATCTCTTCATTACCTCCAGTAAGTTTTTTATTCACTTCGTTGCACTTTATAGATACATAAAAGTATCGCCAGCTAAAATGCAATTTTGTTCCTTCCTTGGACTTATAGTATTTCTTATTTTATTCTTGAGTAGTTATTAAAACATAACTAGTATTAAGATAAATTGTAATAGTAAATATGCTGTTTCTATTCAAAACTTGATTTTTAAGAAAGACTGGTAATTTTCTACTTATAAAATCAGTTTAAGTTTATGCATTTATTTTTATTTTAGACTTGCCCACTTTCAAAAAGAATTTGAGGCTACTTACAATAAAATTACTGGCAGAGTAAATACAAATAAAACGATAAAGGTGAAAGACTAAAGTTACAAAGAGAGGAAAAAATGCTATTAAATAATCCTTGTTGAAGGCTACTAAAGGAATTAAACATGAAACAGTCTAGAACTTCTAAGCAACCAAAGCTCAGAAGGCCACACAAGAAATCTGACAGCTCTGTCTATGGGTAGGAGCCCACCGAGGCCACTCTAGCGCTTTCCCCAAGCTCCCCCTGGGCTGTGCAGCCACCTCCCAGCTGCTGTTGAGTGCACAGTGCTAATGGCTCACAGATCTAGAATTGCCTGCCTTGGTAGGTTAGGGCACCACCGCTCCTAGGAGGTGGCCAGAGCCAAAGACTGGCCATACAGGTGTACAACAGGCTGCTCCCTTGACTGACTCTGTGGGACAATTTGTGCCCCAGAGCTCTCCTAATCCCCGCCACCCTTTGACCCAGTGGAATCAGGCTAAAGCTAGTCTCCAGGCAGAACAATATCCCTGCTTAGCTTTTCCCCCCTTGCTTTATCCTGCTTCCCACACCACTCTTCTGAGAGCACTCAATACACCACTTTCACAAAAATTCTTAACTCAACCTCTGATTCCACAAAACCAGACCTAACACACAAGAATATTAGTTAAGCAGAAGAATGTTAAGTCTTCTGACCTTATGTCCAAAGGATTCGCAAATACAGGATAACATACAATAGAAATAACCTCAATATCAGATTTTGCAAAACACAAAGGCATGAAAATGGCTTTCTTATGTGAATCCATCCATTTTACTAAGATCAAGATTATTGCACATAGGAGTCAAGGCCTCGATAGCTGTCAGTCAGCAAGGATAGCTGAAAGCTTCTGAAATGTGATCCTCAAAGGTGAGGCATGGATGCCTCAAGTCCTGACCTTTTCTTTATAACGTGATGGGTGTATCACCATTAATTCATCTAAAATTATATTGACAGTATGCTTTAAATCTGTACCAGGTTTAGGGATAACTTGCTCCATATGCAGTACTCCTAATACCCAAAATTAGATATAAACTATATGAAGCTCTTAAAAATTAAAATCCATACAACTATATCAGAATATACCAATTTAGTCCATAAATATTTGCTTATAATCATAACAGCTACCTTCCACTAACTGCCTCCAAATGCTAGATACTCATATTACTTCACATTGATTATCTCTTTCTCAAAACAATCCTTCTAGGGTGATATTATTGCCCCAATTCAGGATATATTAAAGTTCAACCTATTAACCTGACCAAGTTCTCATAACTAGGAACATTCGAATTCCAGTAAGTCTAGCTTCCTTTAAAATATTTCCAGTTCTTCCACTAGAGTATGCTGCTCCTATCAGGCTAATCAAAAGGGCTTGTGGCAATTCTCCTTTTATAGTGACTTACCTACTAGGTCCGAGTACGGTATAGTGGTTAGACCTAAAGCCTATCCATTCTGTTGGAAATATGTTAAAGATTTATTTTGAGAGAGAAAGGGAGCACATGGTAGGGAGTGGCAGAGGGAGAGTAAGAGAGAGTCCCAAGCAGACTCTGCAGGGCATGGAGCCTGACTCAGGGCTCAATCTCACAATGCTGAGATAATGACCCTGAGATCACGAGCTGAGCCAAAACCAAGAGGCGGATGCTTAACCGACTGCACCACCCAGGCGCCCCTGCTGGAAATATGTTATGAGCCCCTGACCACAATTTTAAAAGAAAAAAAAAATGGCATAGAACTTTGAGGTTCTACCTAATAGCTTAGTAGTTCTCAAACTTCAGTAATGTGAACATCAGCTTAAAAATTTACTGTAGAACCCCAGAAATATGTGGATTAAAAGGGGTCTAGAGATGTCAGCTTGAAACAAGTTTTATTTGCTCATGGGAACATTTTTAGTCATGAATTCACTCTGCAAAAGAAATATTTTGGTCTTGTCACTGGTAAAATAATTTAACTCAGAAGTGAAATGGAAATACAAAATTTTAAAACTCTAACTTAAACTCTATATACTACAAACTCTAGGAGATTAGGGCACACTAGAGTAAGCCAAATAATCTAATTTTATGACTCTAAGAGGCTGCATTTTATGTAGATAGAAAAGAATTTGGGGTTCAAATTTTGGGGACAGTACTAGAGAAGTTAATGAGAGTAACGAGTTTGGCAAGAATTTAGGTCAACTAGCCAGGACAGGATTGTTACAGTTCCATGAAAGTAAAAGTTCTGTCATTAAAGCTTGATTACAAGTTAGTCTAAAGACCAATAAGCAGAGGGGATTACAGATTCTCACAGAAAAGATCCTAAGTGGTTATAAATAAGTTCTTGAAATACCACAAAAGAAGTGCTCACATCTAATTCTGAGTTGAGAGTAAGTACTGAATTTTAGTGCGTTTCTTTGAACATCTATAGAGAATTAACCTCCCTCTCTCAATTCCCCAATGAACCTGCTTGTACCTCTATTTTAGCATTTAGCATATTTTACTTGTATTGTGGTTATTTGTGTTTATGACTTTCTCCTCCTGTGTTTAGAAAGCTTTAGCCAAAGGGATAGTCTTGTACTGTTATTTTATCTTCTCTATAAAATTCTTCCCCATTCTTACTTAAGAAAACAAAATTTTTAAAAATTTGCTCAATACAACTATCAGTCAAATATTTTCTGGAAACTCAGAGTATTCCTGATCTGCTCTAA